TGGCGAGCGGCCGCACCCCGCCGACCCCTGGGCGCCCACCTCGCCGTCTGCCGGGGCTGCTGCCTGGACTTGTTAGATTTCATCTTTCTTTCGTATAAACCAGTTGTCAGTCGGCATTGAAGGAGCTCGGGTGCTGCGAGCCCGTCCACGCGGAACTGGAACTATTCGCTTCCATTCCCCGCTTCGAAAACTGCTCCTCCTCCTCCTCGGGGCGGGCAGGGGAGCGCGCGGAAGCAGGTTCACCGCGTTTCCCACGCAGCCAGCCCGGCCTCACTTTGCAGCTTTCGGAGAGCCATCGGCGGGGTTAGTTTTATTCTTCCGTGGAGTTTTTGTGAGCCGAGTGGGAAGCGTCGCGGTGTCTTTCTCCTTCCTTCCGTAGTACTCACTAGCGACATTGGCTGGTTTCTTCCGAGGGGCTATTCTCAGTTATCGGATGATTATAAAATATCTGTGATTTAAGACACCCGGGAGGCAGAAAACACCCACAGAAATAACTAAAGGAAGACCGGCAGAGAGAAGTTCAGGGAAGCAGTGGATTAAATCTTCACTTTCCTTTTGGAATATGGTGATGCGTTTTAGACTCTTCTCCGAAATACAGCAAGGAGGAGTTTTTGAGAATCTGATTCAGTGGTGGGCATTTGGATCATGGGGAGATTGCCAGAATTCTTCATTTGTATATTTGAAGGTTTCCTGGGTGATATAAAGATGGGAGGAAGCACCGTTTTGAAAAGCGAATGCAGTCTGTTAAGTTGGGGCTCCCTCCCTGCTCTCGGCTGTGACTGAGTGCTGTCCTTTACTGTGTCACCAGGTTATTTACCCTTTGCCTTAGTTTCTTCATCTGTAAAATGGGGATAATTATAGGATGTCTTATGGGGTTGTTAGGTTTACATGAGATATAAATGCATTTAAATACATATAAGTGCTTAGCCCAATACTTGGAAAGTAGTAAGTGCTCCATAAATGTTAGCTTAATATAGTTAGATTAATATATAGTTAAAGCTCCAATTTGCTTTGTGAAATGAATGGATCTTATCTAGTCTGTTAAGAAAGTGTTGTCCCTTACAAGTTAAAATTAGCCGAATTCAAAGAATATTTAGGCTTTACTAAAAAAAGAAATGTGAAAATGTACCCACTAATTCAAAAAGCAGCTTTCACCAGATACGTTTTATGGACAAGTAGTTGGTTGCTATTTATCTGAATACCAAAAATGAACTCGGGGAGTGATCAAAATTAATTCTTCTTAGGTAAAAGTAGCAAAGTTATGGGGGGGGAGGGGCGGTTGGGAGGGCCAGCATTTTTATTGGGGTCCTATTATGTACCAGGCATTTCATAAGGAATACCTTCCTTAGTCTCCTAGCAGCCCTGCCATGTAGGTGGCATTATCTCCATTTCACAGATGAGATGAGGCTGGCCCCTCTCACAACTGAGGCTGGCCCACAGTTACAGAGCCAGAAAGTGTCAAAACTGGAGTTCAAGTCTGTGGCTACTGCCCATGCTACTCTCCTTTCTTTCCTGTCTCACTGGGTGGTGCTGATGAGCCATGTGCTCACTTCCAGACACCCTTTAGCTAAAGAGGGTGAAAAAGTGTTGCAAGTTCCCCCAGCCCAGGAGGGAAAAACGAAACAGGTCTCTATATCAGAATACAGGGCCATGTTTTCC